TGAAAGGGGAGCAGATCAGAAATAAGGCGAGAAAGAAAGAATTTTGGAGTGAGAAGCAGGCCTGAGATTTCTGTAAAATGAGCTTGGGTACAGAAAACTGTGTAATTTGAACTCCTCCGTTGAACTCCTATTTATAAAAATTGGTTGGAGTTTGAATGTTATAGAATTGGTTATACACACTAAAGGAAAATTGTCAATTGCCGATAGTTATGATAAATTTTCCGGAGGTTCTGAAAATTATGGCAGTTTTCGGCGGTTTATTAATGGCCGGTATAAACCACGTAGGAAATAATTTGCGGCGGCCAATTTCTGGCTGCTAAATTTTCCGGCGGCAAACACAGCCGGTAATTTCTGGCGGTCATAGCGCCGGCGACTGCCGGTTAATTACCGGCGGCGTACCGGGCATCTCAAATGCCGGTATTGCCTGCGGCGCAGCCTCTTGTTGTCTGGCATTATTTACCATCGGCTATATTAAAATTCCGGCAGGCAGTTAAAATAAGCGTCCGGAATCGAAGTTTTCGACAACAAAAAAAAAATGACAGCCCCCCCCCCCCCTCTATATATGCACATAATTCAAAACATATATAACACCCCCTCTATTTACTCCAATTTATGCAATATCTGCACAGAATTCAAAACATATACAACACATAAAGGCAACACGCTACTATAATCAACCCACATAAATGGAGTCAAAAAATAGCAAATCAAAATCCACAATAAGCAGAACAAATGTTTAGACAAAGAGAAATGCATATGTTCTACAATAAACATAACATATGAAATCCACACTAAAATGTTCAGAATACACTAAAAATTTCATTAAACAAATAACATTACTAATCATCATATAAGAATGTTTTTAAAATTCCTCAAAATAACAAAAAAGCTAAACGTTAGAGCAACCATATCAAATAATTAGCTTAAAAATATTATAAGCAACAACCTCAATCCAGATTTCATTAATAATCAGTGAATTGCACAATGTTAAAAGCATAATTAAGTGTACATATCTCAAACACACTATAAATAATGCATAGCTTCCATAGTAGACCTACCTTGCATGAATCCAAATTGATTTTGGGAAACATTAGCATCACGCCACAACCTATGCTCCATAACTCTCTCCCACAATTTTAAAGTATGACACATTAACATTAAAAAGTTTAGTAAGAGAAAAAATTAAAACATTCAGGGCGTTGCCGGAGTGCTCGACGGGTTTCGGCGGCAGAGTGCAGGCGTGATCGGCGGCTGGAGTGAGGACGTGATCGTCTGCCGGAGTTAAGGTGTTGGCGGCCGGATTCCTGCGAAGGCAATCGGAGGCGAGCGCGAGCACGAGTGTCTTGAAGAAAATGATACGCAAGCAAATGAGGAGGAATGCTCAGTTTGACCAATATTAAGTCAATTTTCGGAGGTTCTCCAGTGGCTTAGATAGCCGGAAAAAAAATTATTTAACACCAGCGGCTTGGCCGCCGGTAACGGCTAACGGCAAGCCGCTGGTAACGGTACCGTGAAAACAGAAAGCCGACGGTCTACCCGGAGGTTATTATACCGCCGGTATTACCTGCGTTGTATTATTAAACACCACCGGGTAAACCGCCGATTAATACTGGCGGTCAGACAGCCGGTTAAACCGCCAATAATTCTGGCAATTTTTTTACCTCTGGAATGACCGCCGATAATTGTTGATTTTCCTGTAGTGACATAAACTTTATAGAACATAATAGAAATAATGCAAGAGTTATATAGCATAATTGGAATATCAAACTTATTGCAGACTTATGCTAAGCATAGAAGAAGTTGCCGGCTTAGTTTGCATAGGTGGATGGATAGTCGAATAGCCAATTAATTATTTTTCATATGAAGGAAGTCATTTACTTGAGTAGTCACTTGGGTAGATGATAGGTCATACTCAAAAGCTTGGGACTAGTTCGTAGAGTGTATTCATCAGCTTGGAGCAAGTTGATTTGTAGACTTGGTTAGCTTCTTTTGATATGATTCACAACCTAATGAGTCTCTGGCTTTGTTTGGGATGACTTTTTTACTGCTTTCTAAATAATCTTTTTAGTACAAAAATTAAATTTTTTGCACTAAGAAAATGCTTTAAGAAGCAGTAACATAGTTGCCCCAAATGAAACTAAAATGAATTTGCCTTGAACACTTGAGTATTCTTTGTCATGTTATCATATATTAAAAGTGAATGGATGCTTGAATTAAGATTCAAGCTGATTCTCAATCTTGTTACACTTAGATTAAATTATAATACTGTCAATATGTTTTTTGTGATTATCAAAATGAGCTTATCAAACGAATGAGTTCATATGGTAAATATAAAACTGAGTTTCTTAGTTTGATTATCACACTTAACTAAAATTTATTCTAATTACTAGTTCAACGAAAGCACATGATCCATTTAACCAAAACTCTGTCACAATGAAGTCTCTGACTAAATCTCTTCAGGATTCTCTCTTTATATGAATTGCCTCTAAAACTTGATTTGACTTCTTATCTCTCAAAGGGCACTGCTAAATTCACTCAAAGATGAAATCAGACCTAACTGCTCTCTCTCATCATATCTCTCTTTGAACTTGATCCACTTTTTTAGTAAGATTGTAACATATTTTCACATATAATATTGGATCCAATGACAATATTATTAGGTGGGATCGTATGACTACAATGATGATTGTTGCATAATTGAAAATTTGAGTCACTAGGTTATATGTTTCACGTTATATAAAGATTAAACATGAACATATAAAAATAGTAAGACAGGAGAATTTTTTACTTGGAAAATCCGGAAGGGTAAAAACCACCGGGCCTAGTCCAACCTGAATGAATCCACTAGTATTGATGATTGATTACAAATGACGTCTCTCCTCAGAGGAGGGCGTTGCCTCAATATATAGAGCAAATACATCTTATATAGAGCACATTATATGGTGAGAGTTGGAAGAATTAATGCTGAAATATTCGCTTGGTCGGCATGACCATAGTCGGCGGACGATATTTGTAGGAGGGATCGTAGTCAGCAAACAACGGAAGTCAAAAAGATCATATTTGAGCGATAGTGGTCGAAAAGACGGTAGTTGGGCAATGGTGGTTGGAATGATCGTAGTCGCTAGACGACGGTGGTTGGAAGGACCGTAGTCGGCGGGACAACAATATTTGGGAGTAGATCTAGTGTTCGTAGTATATGATAAAAGTTTCGATAATAGTCGGAGAACGGGCTGAAGTCCAATCGCGTTCAATGTTTGGGAAGAACTCTGGCGGTGACTAGAAAGAACTCTAGCGATGATCGAGAAAAACTCCAGCAGTGGTTGACGGCAAGAGAGCTCTCAAAATTTTCTCTTATTTTCTCTTCTTTTTCTCTCTCCTCATGTGAAATAAGAGTGCCTATTTATAGTTTTTTAGTGTGACACTGTTAATAAATATGAAGAAGATTAAGGACATGTTGGGAGTGTTTCAATGGACGCCCGATATCAGCTCCCTCAATCATATATCATCTATCAAGCATTTAAGCGCCTTAATGACATCTGAATTAAGTGATCTTGGTCTCGTTGGATTCGTCTCATCAAGCCGATCAATTCAACTATAAGCATGTCATATTCAAATATCATTTGAATATTCAATCAATGCTTTTTACATACATCAAGGCGATGATCGGCTTTTTACCGCTTCTTAAAATGGCTTTCTAATACAAAATTTTTTGAATTAAAATTTTATGCATTAGAAAATAGGGATTTTTACATACATAACACCTAAAACTATTGAAAATACATATATAACACCTAAACATTAATATTTACTTATCTACCACTCTGTTACACTTGCCGTCACTCTTAGCGGCTACTTTCTCCGTAGTGCCCTCCGGCGGCGACATTCAGCTCAACAGTGGCCAAACATGGACCATCGACGTCCAAGTCGGGACCACCAGCAGCCGCGTGGAAGACGACGCATGAGAAGCCTGTGCCAACACTACCGACGATGAGTTGCTTTCCATCACCATCGCATCCATTCGGATTGAGGAGCTCATCTGCAAGGAAGGCAGATCAGCGTCCTCATAGAAGAAATCCTCTGGCTGAGATTGAAGATAACTCATTTATAAATTAGAATGGAGGCTCCACCAACATGTTTTAGAAGAGCAGAGAAGTAAATGAGGGGGTGAGAAAGCATGTGAGCACAATTTACTCTTGTTAGGTATCTCCCATCTCCCTTATTCTTTCTTCTCGCACTAAATTTTGTTGAAAAAATGCCTTTTCATTCCACTCAATTCAATAAATCTTCAACATACAGGAGATAGTATTAGGAGGAAGCAGGAAATATTGGAGGAAGACAAAGATCCAAAGTTAGGAAACAAAATAGAAAGCCACAACAAAAGAACACTAACAAGAACCAGATCATCAAGAAGATCATCTCGAGCTCCGATCTAGACTTCTGATCTCGATAGTACCGAAGAAATGGAGGAGACGAAGAGCAAATCTGCTCTCGGGACGAAGACGCGATTGGTCGGGCATATCACGAACGAACGGAAGACAACGTTCAAATAAATTATGTTTTCAATTAGAATAATTTTCTTACTGCTTTATTTTTCAGACTGTAATTATAATTTTTTTTGACAATTATTTTTTTGTTGCTTTTAAAAAATTTTGTACTAAAATGCTATTTTCTATAACAATTAAAAAGTTATATTTTTTATAACAACTTTATGAAGAGAAGTTATTTTGTGTGGAGTTTAGACGGGAAGAACCGTCCAGATATATGAGTGTACACACTGTATACTGTGTATCAAATCAATGTACACATTATTTATACATAGTGTGTACACTCACAATCCGGACCGTTCTTTCCGTTTGGAGTCCGCACAGAATAATTTCTCTAAACGAAGCCTATATTTGATACAAACTCAATTAAATCCAAATTCAAATTCGAACTGAGCCAAACTTGACCCATTTGTCCGCTGCTGACAAGCTCAACCCGAACCATCGAGTCAAATACGCACAAGGCCAACCGGATCAATTTGTTCCCGGTTTGGCGAATCCGCGAATATCGTCCAGGCCTCGACCCCCTTTGCAAGAAACCTACGTCGCCATTGCATCGCATTTTTGACTCCAGAAAGCGTCCAGATTTCCTCACTCCGACTCCTTCCTCTTTTGATCGGTGAGTGTCTTCCGTGAATCAAGCTGATTTATTCGATTCGTAGCTCGCAAAATGCCTACTTTGTGAGAAAAAAATGGGAGATTTCGAAATTATTTTGTGTTATGCCTTCTTCTATTGTCTCTTCCTAGCGGATGTTTGATTTTTTGTTTTGCGGAATACCTGTTGCCGTTTATGTGTGGTTGATTTATAGGGATTTTTTTGTTGTTGAGAGTCTGTACTTTGTGATCCGCAGGATGGCGAAAGCTTTGGCAGATGCTCCCCCGAAAGGTGGGTTTAGTTTCGATTTGTGCCGTAGGAATGATATGCTCGTGAAGAAGGGAATACAGCTCCCGGGTTTCAGGAAGACCGGAACCACCATTGTGGGCTTAATTTTTGAGGTGATTGATGTCTTTGTTTACTTCTTCAATTATTGTAATTACTGTGTTTTTTGCACTCTTAGAGGTTTTCATGCTGGTACAAGTGAGAAATAACCGTTTTTTGTTCATGGTTTAGTGTTCTTTTGATCTAACAATAAAGCTGACGCTAAATAATTTGGAATGATAATTATGCTACTGATGATAAACATTTGTTGATATCTTGCATTTTACACACTTTCTTTATTTTCCATTTTATTTATATTATTCCTGTTCAAAAAGTAAAGGTAATTAAAAATACTAATTATTTGTTTAAATGCAAATTTGTAATTTGCCATGCAATCTCAAGGTATTGTGTTTGAAAAGAATCCAGTCATGAAATTTTTACTCATTGGGGACAACTACTAAAGTAATAACAACAACAACAACAACAACATCAAGCCTTTATTCTACTACATGGGGAAGAGGACTGCCAAAGTTATTTGCGGAAATTTATGCAAGCAGTTTTAGGTTTGTGGATCATAGATTATAGATACTAACTAAATTTACATGATTGAGATCAGTTCTATGGCGGCTATGTATCAGTAGCTAAGTAGTCAAATAATGATCAGGTTGACAAATTAACTTCACACTCTATAGAATAGTTTCTGATATGGATCACTATATGAATACATACATAGCACTTCACCAGTTTAATATGTGGAACTACTTTTTTTTGTATTAGTCAACATATAGCTTCTGAGCTTAAATCTTTAAACTAGGAATCTTATCCTTAGTATTGTGATCTGGTAAATTATGTAAAAAAAATGAAATATAAACACTATTCATGGAAACAATGCAATGTGTCTTTGTATTTTATGAATTTATGGGAAATATTAAGCAAATCATGAACAAGCATAACATTTTGATGCATTTGAGAGATTGAGTTGACCAGGATTTGAGGCAAGTTTCAAGCCATTGTCGCATTGTTTTTGTATCTTTTGTGTTTCTGATTTGGATCGTAGAGGCTTCTATCAAGCATACTCCATGCAATACAAGTGTTGAAGAAAAATATCAACCTGTTTTAAGGTCATCAACTTGAATTATACCAAACTTTCAATGTAGTAACCTGTTTTCTTATATTACTGCAAGAGTTGTCATCTTTGTACTATATAATGTTTTTTTGAAGCTCTATTCTGGAATTACATCTGCCTTATCACCCATGATTTTTTTTTTGATTTGCTATTATTATAACTTTTTTAGGATGGAGTTATTCTAGGAGCGGATACAAGAGCAACCGAAGGACCTATAGTTGCAGATAAAAATTGTGAGAAGATTCATTATATGGCACCCAACATCTACTGTTGTGGAGCTGGAACTGCTGCAGACACTGAGGCAGTGACAGGTTCTTTTTTTTATTTTTTTTTAATAAAGTTTATGCATTGATCAAGTCTTAAAGTGGTTGGTGGAACTTGGTTTCTTTGATTGAATTTGTGACAAAATGAATATGTAACCATGATCATTGGCCTTATCTCAACTATTTGGGTTAGTTTTATGGATTTATATTTTTTCAGTTGTCATGTTAATTTATTCATGTTATCATAGATCTACCTTCTTTTTATCATCTGACACAAATTTGATCTACCAATCTAATGAGGGTATTTTCTTACCTTTTGTTGTACATGTTTAAAACGTCAAAGTCTATTTTTAATTATATTATCTTCAATAGTTGTCATTTTAAACATTTATTTTATTATCCCTCATAGTTTTTCCATGTATCCATTGAATCCATCTTAACTTTCTTATTTCCGGCGTGCTCATCTTAGATGTAAATGATTTTTACACTGCCTATTCTTGAATCTATATACATTATTGGCCTAATTGCAATTTTATAAAATTTTCTTTTATGTCTTCATTATATCACTTATGACGTAGTACTTATTAGATACGCCTTCATTTTATCCTCCCAATTTTAATTCTAGATGTTATATCTTCATTGTTATCTCCATCATTCTAGTATTCTACATAATAGATTCAATATGTTTAAATCAATTTCACTTATGTATTATTTTATTTTCTAATAATATTGCCTGATAACATTAACCCACTAAAATCATATATTATATACACAATTTTATTCTATTAAGTTTAAGCTATCTATCTTTTAAACATTTTCTTTATTTTTTCAAAATTTCACTTATTTTATTTAGCAAATGTTTCATTGATTTTAACTATGTTATCTGCAAAAAAGTATACAACGATGCATCTTACTTTAAATATCCTTCATAAACTTATTTTTTACCAATACAAGAAGATATAGACTCAATGATGATCTTTGATACAATTCTATTGTAGTTTGAAACTCTTTACTTAATAGTTATATGTGTCCATTGTACATATCTTTAATACTTTCAATATAAATTTTTTTCTTAATATTTATTAAATCAATTCTCATGTTATATGTTCATATGCCTTTTCAAGATCTATAATAATCATATGGTGATCCTTTCTCTGCTCTCTATATTTTTTCAGGAATTATCTAAACAAAAAAAATTCATACTAGTTCTTTTTAGGTTAAAATTAAATCAATTCTCCAAACTTGACATAATTTTTCTATGTCCCATATCTTCATTGCATGGCTTATAGTTTTGATTCCCCTATAGTTAGCATAATTTTAACTATGTTTTAATTAAATATTAGTACCTAAATGTTTTTACTGCAACAATTTGGCATCGTTTTTTGTCATCAAAGTTCCATTGAAAGATTTGTAAAGCAAACCATTCTGGTATTACTGAGCAATTTGAATGCACTTTTTGCAGGACTTATAGTTTCTAATGCATCTAACTTGATCAAATTTCTAGATCCCTTATCTTTCGTTTTTTATATATATATATATATATATATATATAACCAACTAATAGAAATTGTCAAAACTTGTAGTTTTTATTTTGCTTGCTATGCTTTTCTCAAGTCTTCTAGTTTTTTATAATCATTACAAGCCGCAATAATATTCAGTTTTTGCTGCTCTTTGAAAGAACATTTCTTTCTTAATATCTTTTTTGTTCCTGCTAAATCCACGACCAACTCTCCCTACTAATGCATGATTTGTTTGTAAACTCATCTAAAACTTTCATGACATTCTTCTAAATGGAACTAGTCGTTTACCTCATATTAGGACATCTAAAGTAAATAATTCTAATTTCCCTCTATCAGAAACTTACCTTTGAACAATCTCTCAGCATAGAAATTTTATAATCTTTTCTTAGGGTAATTAGTTTTTTCTTAAATTGTTTTCATTATTCACTCGATATATACATCCTCATTATTACTCTATATTGTGTGGGCATGCTCTCTTTTAGAATCAACTTACAATATCTGCATTTCATTTCAAGTAAAGTGGAGCCTATTTGTGATTTGGTAGCTTCAGTTTTGTAAGTTATTACATGTTCTTCTCATAGAAATACTTAGTCAATAGAGTGTTTTTATGTCTAGTATTGTAAACTTAGAAGTTTCTGATCTCTTTTGGTTTCTTTCTATTTTTTAGATATGGTAAGCTCTCAGTTGCAGCTGCACCGCTATGCAACGGGCCGTGAATCAAGGGTCATTACTGCCCTTACTCTTTTGAAGTCACACTTATTTAGGTAGATTTCTTTGAACTGCACGTTTTCTTTTGCTGATCAAATTTGCTGGAACTCTGTATGAGATTTTTGTAACATTTCCTTAAATGATTGCTAAGCCGAACTTTTTAAATAGCTTTTTATTTTCTTTGTCTTTTTGGCAGCTACCAAGGTTATGTTAGTGCTGCATTGGTCCTTGGTGGTGTTGATGTTACTGGACCGCATTTGCATACAGTGAGTCGATTTTGCTTGGTAGTTCTCTCTCTTAGTATGGATGTGTTATTTTGGCTGAATTTATTATGTAGGTCTACCCACATGGTTCAACTGATACTCTCCCTTTTGCTACGATGGGTTCGGGTTCTCTTGCGGCCATGTCTGTGTTTGAATCTAAATACAAGGAAGGCTTAAGTGTAAGTCAATACTTTGCTCCCCAAGATGGCATTTTTTTACTGTGTATTGGTCTATAGGTACTGTTGATCTGTAGATCATTTAAAAGCAAATTTAGACTAGTATTGTATAATATATTAATATATGATCAAAGTAAACTAGCAGCTTTCATTAAATAACACACTGGCGTGCACATGCTCATTCACACTTGCACAAGCGTAAGCACCGGACAAAGTTGAAAAAATGCCTGTAATTTTTATTTCTCCGGGTGATATTTTACAGCAATACTAGCAATGTAAGCCACATACCTGTTTGAGGTTTTGATGCGATATCTCAGGTGGTCTTTCATTAACAATTAATTAATTATGGCATTCAATTCATGTTTTATGTTGTGTTTGCAATGCCTTTGTATAGTTCTATTTGAGATTGTTACGCACATCCAGGGTAATGGCCAAACTTTTGTTTAACTATAAAGCATGCGTACTGTGGATTCTTGTATTTTCATATTGAATGCAAAATTACCTATAATAGCTTGGTCAGGTGTCCATTATGGCATTCTCTATGCTCTTTCGATATAGATGAGTTTTCCTTGGATATAACTACATAGTTCAAGGGTACGCTCAGCACTGAACCATATGTATCCATGCTGCACAAACTATTGATGGCACCTCTCTAAAGATCGAGTTGATAGTTATTTTTCTTTTTAGATTGCTTTTTTATCATGCTGCTTTAGTGACTTGGATTGGCATCTCTTTGCCCGAAGAGATTTCACACTTGTCTTTGATTTCCTAGTAACGTGTATACACACACACATGGTTTAAAGGCCTTGAACTTCTTCTTGCCTCGAAACCGTCACCATGAATACTTTCCTTGTCACAGGGTTAATGTCTTTTAGCTTTCCATGGTAGAAAGGTAGTGCTGGGATATTCGTGGTAGTTTAGGGTTTAACAACTTAGGATTGTATGAAGATGTCAAATGCATACAAATAAGTTGAAAATAATACATATGAGACACAAATTTTTATAGGTGAAAAATCCGACAAGGGGAAAAACCATGGGATGTAGCCTAGCTAAAATATTTTTATTAGTGTGAGTCAATAATTATAAGTGTTGCATTTTTTTGAGATAGAAGTGTTGCATTTTTTGAGATAGAGAAGGCTCTAATAGTGTAATAATATACATGAACCATGGAGGACACCAAAGCCCTACATGGGGTCCTGGTTGGGCATTCATTGGGTACCCATGCTTTACTCAGATGGGCTTCGCCCAACCACGCCGACCCGTGGTGACTTTCGGGATGCCATACCCACCTATACCCATCCACTTTCCATGCTTTTTGAACGCAGTGTGCCACAGATTGATGGTCTTGAGGCTTCTTTCCCTTTGCTCTTATTGCAAACTTTCAAGACGCATATCAGAATTTACCGTAGTCGCAGTGTGGTTAAGTTCTGCACACTATGTAGTGAGGATTGCAGTAATATAAGATATATGGTGATTAGCTATGTAAATCAATTTATCCTCCGATGTTGAGTACCCACCCATACCCACTCACAAGGCCATGGTGGGTGTGGGTATGGATATCCAATGCAAGGCTCTAGAGGGCACCTATTGTTGTGTTGATAGTGGATGATCAAATTGATCTTACTTATGATAGAAATGAGGATTGAGTGACTTAGAAGTCGAGTGTTTGATGCCAATCTTTGATTGTCTTTGAGCGAAGTGCGGTGGTTGGCTCTATTGTTCTCTTGATTAGAGGGTAGGTTAGGCGGCTGTGAAGATGTGTGCTGAATGTCAATGGCTAATTAACATTAGAAGCTAGCCACGAGTAGGTTGAGTGACAGGCTATGTGGAAGAAGGTAATAAAGCTATTATGAGTGGTTGACTTTATTGTTCTCCCAATGAGAAGAGATATTGGGCAATCAGAAATATAGACGTTAGAAGTTGATGCCTGGTTTATGTTATGAGTCGGTCATTGGAAGGTGTCCAATGATAGTCAGTGAGTAATATTGATAGTTGGGTTGTGATTGTTTGTTAGCTTGGTCGCTCTCCCAATAGGAGGGTAGATCAGATGAGTGGAAGACGAGCATCAGACAGTGTTGGTGAGTGTTATGTCTGTTGATGATCGATTGCGGATGATAGTAACGGCGGGCGTCGATGTTGGTTAATGACTAACATGGGTCCTGATGATGAGCAATGTTGATGTTGTTCTACAGCCATCATCGGTTGATGGATGATAGTGAGTTGGCATTGATTGATGACAAGTGTTGATGTTAGTTAACAATAGGCATTGATACTGGTCGATATCTATCGTTAGTGAGTGTTGATGTTTGTCTACGGTCTATGTCGGGTGATGGTAGAACAGGCTCTGAAATTTTTTCATGTTTGCTGAAATTACACCTTTGAATATGTAGAAATAAGGTGTTTTTTGCATGTCTACCATAACCTTGGACATTCTATCAGATGATTTGAGCAGGTCATCCTTGAATATTTTATTTTATTTTATTTTTGGAATCATAGGGCTTTCATGTACTTAGAATTGAACAATCTTGGACTTGTCAGATCTTTATCATTGAAACACCCATTCCGATTATAGGCATGATGAATTTGGAGGGTGTTTGATGCCCAAATGACTGCAAGTTTTCAATTATTCTTATTGGTGTTTGATTTAATCCCATTTGGACTTGGATCTTTATGTTCTTAATATTAGTGGATTTGTCTCATGGAACAACAATATTTGACTATAAGTTCACTTAAATTTGAGTTAAGATGATTTCAAAGTTAATTTTAGAAATTTTTACCCCAAATCTCTGTGTGCTTTGAGATATTAAAATTGCCTCTAAATTAGTGCTTGTTTGTATTAGTTTTTTGGCGGGCACCATGTTGCTGAAAGAGAGGTCATCAATAATTAGATATAAAAGTTTGTAATAGAAAAAATTCAATGAACTCTAAAATAGTGTGTGGTAGCAAGCCATTTCCAAAATGAGACAACAATATCAAGCCTTTATCTCACTATGTTGGGTCAGCTACATGAATCCTTTTTTTTCCTTTGTGTCCTATTAAGACTTAAATTCTCATTTAATTGTAATAAAGAAAAGTCATTTCTAATATTTTCTAACCAAGTCTTTTTAGGTCTATCTCTGCCTTTTTTAACATATGTCAAATATAATAAATCTACTTTCCTAACTGAGTCATCGGAAAGCTGTTGTTTTATGTGATCAAACCATCTAAGGCTACTCTCTCCAATCTTATCTTCCATTGGAGCCACTCTGACCTTTTCACATATATGCTCATTTCTTATCCTATCTCTAAGAGCAAAGCCACTCATCCACCTGAGCATCCTCATCTCTGCAACACTTAACTTAATATTATGCTTCTCTTTTAATGGCCAACATTCTACACCATAAAAGATTGCAAGTCTAACCACCATCTTATAAAATTTTTCCTTAAGTTTGAAGGGGACTTTTCTATCACACAAGAAGCCCGATGCATTCCTCCACTTCAACCATCAAATTTGAATTCTACTAATAATATCCCCATCTATTTCACCATCACTTGAACTTGATTATTCGATGAGTTTTACGCTGGTTGTTGACTACTTAATACAACCATCCACTTTTCTCATCCAGGACTTTCCTATCACCAAAATGAGAATTGGGAAAAAAAACATGCAACAATGTTGGTGAAAAAAAAAATGGTCTCTTGAAATTGAGGTTAGGGTGTGTCAATCATGGTTTAAAATTGCGCAATATGAGGCTCGCCTTTGCGCAATTCCAGTAAAAAACGCCTCGATGCTTACGCCTCAAATTTTTTTATGAGGCTTGCGACTCAACTTGGTTGAGGCCCGCCTCGCCTCACTGCCATGAGGCTTACGCCTCACGCTATATATATTAAAACTTACTAAATCTTGAAGTAAATGCCCGACATTAGACTCCATAGGAGGAGGAAGGGGAGAGAGCAGGTCATCATAATGATGATTCAAATGAAGAACCCCTTAGTGATGACAGTGTTGATGACTTATGAGCTCTTATGTGATATGTCATTGCTATTTATTTTTGGAAATTTGAATTATATGTTAATGAAAAAAATACTGGGATTTGGAAAAGATAGAATTTTGAGTTGAACTATATTTCATGTTGTCTTATTATTGAGATATTTTGATTTCACTTCATATCTTATGTTTTTTTATGATTTATATTATTCACTCATTAGTATATAAAAAATTTATCATTTTATATTTACGTAATCTTTTGATTTTGAGGCTTACACCTCAAAACGCATTGAGACTTACGCCTCGCCTCACGAATGAAAAATGCCTCAATACCCGAATACGCAATTTTAAACATTGGTGTCAATGAATATAATTTTTGATTATATTTTTTTTGGATTTTTGGACCGAATTTGCATTTTCGTAGCCATTTATTTCTCTAGAATTAGGTCCAATAGTCAGCGTAAACTAGTAAAGGAGAAATGGAATAATACTTTATATTTTTGTACATTTGGTCTTAATTGAAACGATGAAAACATAAAACAGCTGTAGAAAACAAAATAAGCAAGGATGAAGAATATTAAGGAATAAAGAACTCAGATGAAAGAAAGATTGGACAAAAGCAGCAATATCAAAAATGGACTTGCCTCTAATCGCAGCCATTAACCTTGTGTAAATAGGCATTGAGTAGGCACAGAATCTGCAATGGAAAATAAATCATAATGTCACTGCAAGCATAAAGAGAAAGCTAACAAGAATCTATTATTTTTTATGTTCAATATCAAACGTCATCTAGTCTAGTGAGAAAAATAATGAGTTTTCTTATTTCCAACAATATTAGTCATTTTCACTGATAGCTGGGCATATTTACAAGAGTTTGTTTCCGAGATTAAGTTCAAATATAGCATAGAGCATATTACCACTAAAAACATGAACGAAAATATCAACAGTAGCAATAACTTTTAGTTAAAAGATTATGAAGAGATTTGCTGACGTTGATACGTGCCCTTTAAATTTAAATAAAATGTCTCCCAGTTTCTATAGATTAGAAATAGCAGCATTATCTGAAACTAACAAATATAGCGCTTTTTTTGCCATTTTGAATCCAAGCTTTTAATTTAAGCATCATGCCTAGAAATGACTATGTCAGGTTAAAAAAATCTATTACAAAGATTTGCATTATATTGTTAATATCTATCTTGTTGTATGATTGTACTAGGATGATATGCGTGTATATTATCAAATAAAAATCTGATATCATCATTTTGTCTTCATTTTTACTACCATGATATAAAAATAATTCAATGCCAACATCAAGGTTTTTTTGATTGATAATGCTCATGATTTCTTTTATCACATTTTTTTTTCTCTTTTTTTCAAGAAAAGAAGCAGCACCCACCAATACTTTTGTCTTGATATTTCTTAACAAAATGAAATGGCAAAAAGAAACAATACTATCTTCTGGAAGTCATATAATTTTCTCTATCAGAATCAAGTGTCACAAATATATTGGGTTTAAACAATCATAACTATCACATATCTAATCAATAGAATACTTCCAAGAGTATTTGGCTGGATTCTACACCACAAATAACTTCCTCTCAAAAATTCCTTTAAAATATCATTGGGTACATTGCTTATGTCCACATCCATAAAAAATACAAGGATAAATTTGATCTTAGAGCTCTCAAATGTATTTTTATTGGGTATTCTTCCACCCAGAAAAGGTATCTGTGTTATTATCCTACAAAGAAAAACTTGCTTACTTTAAAAGATATCACCTTGAATTAGAAGTAAAGTTTTTTCAATCAAATTCATCTTTAAGGGGAGAACTCTAAATTGAAAGATAAGTTCGATAAAACATCTATTTTTCATCTTGACATTTCTACAACACAAACTCCAAAAAAATTCAAACATTGTACCATTCAAGTCTAAAAGAAACGGAATAAGCCAAGCCAAAATCCGTAGAATGCTCTAGGCTCAGAACCATTATTAGGTGATCATAGTCAACCCAACACAAATTTTCAAAAAATTTCTCCTACCCATAAAGCCTTTCTTATAAATATCACCTCTAATTTTATTGTAATACCACAAACTGTATTTGAGGCATTTGAAAATAATAATTGGAATGATGCTATGAGAGAAAAGATGAGTGCTCTGAAAAGAATTACACTTGAGAGATCATTGAACTACTAAAAGGGAAGAAAATAGTAGGATGTAAATGGATTTTTTTTTTATAATATATAGGCACATAGAGGCGTGAATGGGTAAAAACAAGATTGTTAATAAAAGAATATACTAAATCTTATGGAATTGACTATAGATATACCTTTGTTTTTGTTTGCAAAAAATGAATGGAAAATGCATCTTAATTTCTCTTCCAAGTAATCATGCATGGTCCATACAACAATATGAGGTAAAGAATGCTTTTCTATACGAGGATGTTGAAGAAGTCTATATGGATCTATCACCTAGATTTGATAGTTATCTTAAAATGAACAAAGTGTACAAATTAAAAAAGGGTTTTGTATGACGCTAAATAGTCTTTGAGAGCATGATTTGAAAGATTAAAAATGACAAAATCATGAATGAAGTTGGATACAAATAAAACTACATATCATAAAATAATATACTAATGATAAAATTCTCAGTTCTTATCATATTAGTTGATATAATTATCATAGGTGATGGCAATAGGAGTCAGGAAAAAGCTTGGTGAAGAATTTGATTTTGAGAAAAAGAAAGGTAAACTAAAATACTTATTGAGATTAGAAGTTTCTCATTCAGAATAAGGAACATTCATCTTTCCCCTGTCTCATCTTATTTGGTCCAATGCCTCCCAATTTGCTTCTTCTTCATTTATTTCAGTTATCTTCCTCTTTTATAAATATTTTTCATTAACATAATGATGATATTAACACTTAAAAATTTTTAGAGGAGGTGATGGTGGTGTGCATGTTTCAAGTGATCCTCGACTGCGGCTATGATGGTGGTGACTATGGAGAAAATGGAGGGTTGGAGGTCAGGGAAGTTCATAGAAAGTTGAGAGGTGCCTGGGGGTGCATTAAAGATTTAAAGCATGATTTGTTTAGGGGCTTTAGTTTAGAATTTAGGTAAGTTTTATATATATGACATGCCTCAAGGAGGGCCTTAGCCAAGCTGAGGCACAAGCCTCATAAAAAAAAGTTTGATGCGTAAGCCTCGATATATTTTTCACTGGATTTGCGCTGAGGTGGGCCTTAAGGAGAGCCTCATATTGCGCAATTTTAAACAATGATTGGAGGACATCCATCATTTGCGGCAAAGGCGATTAACCTGCACTTGGAGTCATAAAAAAAAATAAAGGGCATGCCTATACCAAGCGGAGAGGGCAAGCGACCAATAGAGGATTTCGAGCACCCAAGTTCCAATGATATAAGAGAGAGTGTGGGAGACTTTATCCTAAGAAGGGTGATGACACCTAAATCTCTAGAAAATGCAACACTGACTTGGGAGGCAAGGGAAGTGATTCGATGACTTGTAGTGGGGTGAGGGGTGCAAGTGGTATCTCGAGAGAAGGCCGGTGGCGCGTAAATCATATCTCAAAATGTGATATAAAACTAAGCTATCGTGGGAGAAGGGGTCCACGATGTGCTATTTGGGGGAATAAATCAACGAGTTGTTGTTGTAGATAGACATCTAGGAATGAGGCGTGTTTGACTCACATAATAATAAGGGTTTGAGAGATTTGTTAAAATTATATATGATATACTCCTTTATTCCACAAATTCCATGCCTTTTATTTATCAAAATTTATGTCAAATATTCTAACTTTGAGGCTTACCTTATTGTTGTGTTGAATTGGACTCGCTTGTTATGTGTCTATGCTTCATAAATACTCAACCCATCAATCTATTTCCTTAAGCTAATCTCTTGTTTTATTATTGCATCTTGTAGCATGCATCTACTTGATAAATTGAGTATGTGAGGCTACTTAGCTTTTGATGATTCGAAGGTTTTGGTTGAATTAGGGAAAGCAGGTGCGACTAATAGTGTGGGTTTCACGATTTTCATCAGTAGTCTCAATGGCTATTGAGTACCGACAATGTTTGTATTGCAATAGTAATTCAAAATTCCATCTCACCTTTTGATTTATTGTGGAGGTTATATCCCTCACATTTTGATTTATTGTAGAGGTTATATCCCTCGTTATCCTCTCCCATTGGTTTTGTAGCAATGCCATTAATTGTCCAAAACTTTATCTGGTGAAGATATAGTCTGAGGTAGCTTTATTTTGTCATAGGTCTGCACACACCTTTCTAGAATTTACCTAGCTTCTTTGGCGGATGATACACTGTGCTGCTGCCTCCTTGTGAATTCCCACATTCGCAACACTTCTTCGAGGGTTCAACCACTCCTTTTGGCCATAGGTAGGCATGGATGAAGGGGTTTTTTTACCTGAGCATAGTGAATATGAAGGCTTTTTATTTTGTATGGTTACTCATATGGCTTTTTCGCTTCTGGTATGGTTCAGTTGCAGGACAAATGAGGCATTTTGCACCGTGCATGGATTTTGATGATACGGTGGATATGAGCTAATAAATGTGCCCTGAATAAGCATCAAACACTTTTGAAGTATTTCTAAGCGGTCCTTGGCTAAGTCTATAATTAGGTCTGCAATCGGTTTTGTTCATTTAGTTCTTTTCTATGGATGGAGAGCTCTGGAAGCTTGAGTAGACCTTAGAGATCTGGTAGCCTTTTTCTCTATCTAGATCTCAGGAGTTAAATTTTCTAACTTTGGGAACCCTCTACGATTCAATTATAACCCTCTAAGATTCAAGGATTCTTATTCTCGTTCTTGAACACTGACTGAGCATGGGGGCCTTTTTCTGGGCAAAGCCCTCAGGTCGTATGTTGTCCTTTTGGTTTTTGGAGTGTTGGTTTGTAGCTTAGAACTTTGTGATAAAGATGATCTGAATTTATGACTCCTGATGCATAGAAAGTGCCTTCTGACATGCAACGAAGGCAGATTATGATTGATTATTGAGGGAAATAACTATAATTTATTATCATCATATGCGAATATAGAGGTGAAATTCTCCAAAAACTTATGTAGGCGGTCTCCTTGAAGTTCAATGTTATTCAATCTTTATAGTCTTGAAGCTTAAGCTTCCTGCTTCACTTTGAAGCTTATTATATTTTCACTCAATTTGGATAAAATACCTTTATAATTTTCTTCCTTTCTGAATAACTTTTACAAAACATTATTTCTTATGTAAGCTTAAACTGCCATTTTATTGGATTACTTAAAATTTGTTATGAACTAAGTGTACATGATTCCTTATCATATGAATAAATTTGCCAAGTTATCCAAACTTGGCTTGATTATTTTTGCCATTCACATTAAGATTAGAGAGAGTCGCCTTAGATGGTTTGGTCGTATTAAAAGGAGGCCTTCAGATGACCCGGTTAGAAAAGTTGAGATATTAGATTTGTCTTATGTTAAGAAAGTTAGAGGTAGACTTAAAAAGACTTGATTAGAAAATATTAGAAATGATCTTTCTTTATTAGATTTAAACAAGAATTTGGCTTTTAAGAGGACACAATGGCGAAAAAGGATTCATGTAGCCAACCCCACGTAGTGGGATAAAGGCTTGATGTTGTTGTTGTTGTACATTTTGATCGCAGTCTTTAGTATAATCATAGTTTGGCGTTAAATTTTTGTTGTTTGTAATAAAATTCATGACATCTCATATTTCGACCTCAATGTAATTAATTCTTACATTTTTTTAGTTGTTTTGATACGTACATATGGACTTCCAAATTTATGTTCCTTGATTTCTGATTCTTCCAAGCACTATAATTAGGATTTAACATAAATTTATTATACTTATAGCACTTTTCTTTGCTAGGAATTCAATGACTTTTCCAAATATTAACTTCTCATGAACTTGTAAACAGCATATAGAGCAGATGATGCACTATGTTCCTGCTTTAAATAATTGATTACTTTTTGGTATCTGTGAGCAGAGAGAGGAGGGAATCCAACTGGTTTCTGAGGCCATATGTTCTGGTATATTCAATGATTTGGGAAGTGGAAGCAATGTTGATGTCTGTGTAATTACTAAGGTTCTCACAACAACCATTCTGTTACTAACATCCTTTTTCTGCTGGGGTTTTTGTTTGTCCGCTTACTGATCCATTAAAAACAGGGCAAAACGGATTATTTGAGGAACCATCAGTTACCGAATCCTCGGACATACATTAGTTCTAGAGGCTACTCTTTCGCCAAGGGTCATACTGGTAAGTTTCTTTTGTTACTCCCGGCAAAAGTGCACCTGCGCTTGTGCGTTTAGATTGGTTGATTATTTTTATTTAATAAAAATGACAATCTTTCGATATTATTTATCTGCAAAATTATATATATTTTATTTTAAAATATAAATGTAAAAATTTTGATTTCTTCAAAGAGTGTTTTGATCAAATAATTAAAAAAAAAAAAAGCTTCGTAGAATAGTTTTTATAACTTGACAATAAAAGAAAAGCTTTTTAAAATATTTTTGTTCTGAAAAGATAATATAACTTGACAATGGAATAAAAGATAATATATTATTTTTAAGTTATTTTTTCTTGGAAGATGGTGTTTGTTGATTGACACCTTGCATAACATTGAAAGCAATTCAGTTTAAGGTTTCGTTTTGAATAACTTTCTTACAGCTTTATAAAATAACTTTTTAGTATAAAAATTTCTAGCTTATAAAATTATTATACTAAAATATGTTTAGAAAGCTGTTCCAAACGAAGCCTAAGATATCCATGCTAAAATAATAAAATAGTATCGAAATTATCCTTATTCCTCAAAACATTAACATAGAAAGACGGAATGCATGTGCAGTTTATTTCATCAAATGTTACCTTATTCCATACATAGGTAGAATGAATTAACATATTCATCCACCCTTCAAGAAATTTCGTAGATTTTTTATTATGATAGAAACCATCTTATAGTTGAGTTTGTCACAGTTCTGATTTTGATTTAAATGAGCTTATTAGATCTTTATTTTAAACTTAAGAACAACATTTTATTTTTGTGAGATCACAATCAACTTTTTAGTAGTAAATATAGGTAAGAATAGAAGAGTGAATTTTATGCTGCATTAATGGATAAAGTTCCTAAAGTCTATCCTCCTTTGCATTTGCAGAGGTGTTATCAACGAAGATCATTCCCTTGAAGGCCAAAGCAGAAGTAGCTGTGGTTGATGCCATGGAAGAGTAAGGGGATTATTTTGCATGAGCCGCTGCTTGGTTTTGTCTGACTGTTATAGCTTAATCAATGTATCAAGTTGTGTTTAAGCAGCTATATCGTATTACATTCTTCAGCACAATATTGCTCTTGAAGTCCTTTACTTCTTGTTATGCTCATCTTCTTCACTATCAGAGTCAGTACTACGATGATATAAGTAGTCTTCTTACTTTCTGCTTTGGATAATATACATCTTATTCTATTTTGTTGAAGAAGAGTTCATACTTTTTGTTAAATCTTTGTGGATATTAAATGATCGAAACTAATAGTGATAATATTGTGTTCTGAGGCCTTAGGTAAATTTCCATTTGTGATTAAGTAGAATCTTTTTGGATTTATTCAGGTTTGATTATAGTCAACTAAATAGCTATCTAAGGCCTTCTTTTGCATATTTCGGAATAACTACGAAGCCTCTAAAACATCTGATGATCTTCTTATTATCTATTTTGATGCATGAACTTTTACAGAGGTGAACACAGTTTTGTTCTTCATATTTGGCTCCTGATACCTTTGATAAATAGGCAATTTGATAGAGATGAATTTTCCAACTATAGCAAGGTTAGAATAACAAAATATTGAATACTATACAAAAGTTGTTAGTCATTGATATGCCTTATAATTAGTATACCTTTGGTGGAAGAATATTCATCAAGCATGTAGAGTTGTCTAAAATTTATAGAAATACTACCTAAATATATGAACTTTTAAAAAATGATAAGCGATAAAGTATAAATAATATGATTAGAATTCATGATCTTGAAAAAATATTGATTATATTTCTTCAAGAAATAGAATGTAATCGTCTTATTTTCCTGAGCATTTGTTTGACCTCTCTGCATTTTCCATGGTGGAGTTACTGGAGTAGATGCTAAGCATGCATGCTGTCCTTTTGCAATGTAAGATTGCATTGATGCCCTTTTATCTTTGACGTTCGTTCTCCATGGAAGCTATCCATTACAGTTTATGGAGAGTACATAATCACTTTGCATGGTGAGCATGCATGGACTAGACATATGGAGCTGTTAGTAATCAAAGTGTGACTATAACTTAAGGCTCCACTGGATGAATTAGAGCCAGATATAAACATGAAAAGTACTAAAATGTTAAATGGTTGCAGAAACGAGAGTTGTTGATTTTCATGATGTATTAATGTAATGAATAAGAGAGAGAGAGCCACCACTTCAGGTAGTCAATAAATTTTGATGGTTCGATCAATGATGATAAGTGTGGATGCGATAGTAGCTTAAGAGATTGTAGAGGTATGTTTTTATGGCATTTGCTTATCCGGTACACTTAATCAATGTTCAATTATTTTTGCCTAACTATTTGCGGTTATTTATATTCGATTAGATGGTATCTTATTGCTTCTTTTTCATTTATTTATGCTTTTTTCCTCTATAGTTTTGTTTGATTGCTATTGAGATTATCTACTCATAGTATTGAATTTTTCTATAATAATTTCCTTCTGAATTGTCGTATTGAGATAGAACAGCTCAAGCTTTCTCCTGCTGGTATAAACTGTGCTCGTAAGCTATCGAACTAAGGGCCCTGGATGCCTTTACGGCCATCCTTTTTGTGTCAGTATGCTAAATTTTTTATCATTTAGGGATAAGATGATCATGTGGGTTCTAAAAATTAGCGTCCCGGCCTCTCCATGGATCCCTTTCCTTCTTTTTTTTTTTTTGTGGTCACCCTTAAATTTCAAGGTAAATTTTCAAAGGCAGATTGGAGTTTGAATAGGTACTACCCAAATGTTTCACCATCATTTTGCGAGGACTTTATGATCTGAGTTCAGGTTTCTTATAGTCGCAAGCTTCTATAGTTAATTACCTCTGATAATGAGAGAGAACTTTCAATTAAGGTTAGTTGTCAAACATATACGGAGTATCTAGCGTATAGTTGCAGCATGATTTAGGTATTTGAGAATTTGATATTTAAAATTAGAAATTTCATCGTCTTGCACTTAAAACGGATAGTAGGGGGAATGATGATGAGCCCAATGAAGATCTCATGATTCCGTTTCCCTGGGCCAGCATGGTCCCTAGTCAACTTAGTCAGAGGAGGTAGTCGATCGAACCTGACATAAGGATTTTTGTCAGCAATAATGGGTTGCTTCATCCAAGGGTACATTGTAGACATTGGACATACAAGGTTGTATTTCTGCCGACATATACACTACATGTTGTATCAGGAATCTTTCACCTGTCATCCATAAGTAAATTGATCTATTTGGCGTGACAACCAGACGTCACAAATATGCTGCCTCAATTTATCAGTGACCCACAGTACTATGAATTCGCTGCTTTTGCTTACAGGCGAATTATAGTGTCTATTGCCTGCTTTTGCTTACAGGTGAATTATAGTGTCTATTGCCTGTTGCTATAGGCATGTTATTGTGCTTTTTGCAAGCAAGTTAATGTGTTCTTGAATAAGTTGTTGTTGACTACCGACTAAGTCAACAATCTCTACATACATGTTGGCCAATGAGTTACTATATTTATCCCATATTAATCTTTAGTGTCAACAGGGCAATGATAGACTTGTTTACGAGTTAATGTCATAGGGAGATTATTACATTCGTTGCTTGTTTGCAGCCGTCGCTCACAAGCAAGCTAGCATATTCATTTGTATATCAACTTTCATTTGTTCATCAGAGATTGGCATGTCAGCTTGCACATTGATCGAAAAACTATCATGTTTGTTTGTATGTCTCATGTTGTCACCTATGGACACTCATAAGCCTCTTGCAGTTGCTTGTAAGGGGTTGCCGCTTGCCTTTGCTTGCTAGCTGATGTTGACTAAAGGGATATTGCAGTGTTGGTTTCATGTTAACTTGAGCCGCCAAGTGAGTTATATTCATCACAAATTCCTCCATACATGTTGGCTGACAAATTGTTGCATTAATCATTAATTTCTTCATGCACATTGATTGGTAAGCTATTGTATTTGCTTGCATGTTAATGTTTACTGTCGTCTGAGTTACATTCATCACCAGTATTTTTGTGTATGTTGACTGGTGAGTTGCTACATTCATAGCCTGTTAGCTTTATATTCATAGAAGGCTTGTTGCATATATCTGCAAGCCAACTGGCATTGATTGAAAGTATGTCCTAGTATTCATTACATGTCAAATTTTTCTATTTGTAGATAGCATATGTATTTGCATGCATGACTGATGTAATTGTTACACATCAACTATTATAATATATAGATGATTTATAGCATATGTCCAGGACTTTCCATGCTCACTTGCATTCATATTGCACATTCTCTTCAACTTTGCTGCTTGTGGGCGAATCATGTTGAACATCACAAGTCCCTTGTTGTCTTTGAAAGTAATTTGCGATTTACATAATAAACTTGCTTGTCGATGTTCACATTACAGCCAACATAATGATCCTGTTATAGATTTTGTGTTATTGATTGTGAGTGCGCCGTCACATTTTTTTTATTTGATCTTTACTTGCTCATTGACGTTCATGCGAATAATTTGGATTGTTATTCATTATTTAAATTTTCAATATGACCAAGCTTTCATTAATTAAATGTCTATTCCCTGTTTAGTGATTTAAGTTTTGTTCCTTGTTGTACGCTCAAGTTTGCAAGTCCCTTGCTCATATTGTCCAATTTTAGGTCCCCTATTCATTAGAAATTTTAACAGCCTCCCGATATCTCCCCCATTTGGAGGGAAATTACATGAGTCATAACCTGCTCACCACGTCAGAGAAATACTTGCATGATTGATGTCTGACGATACCGTGGCTGTGGTCTTCAATCCCACCACACTAGAGAAAGGAGTGTGTGGGTCTTCAAAGATACATGTTTGAAAGCGCAGTTTTACCCTGCTGGCACTAAGACATATGCACGGACTTATAAAAATTAGCAGTAAATATAATAATATTAACTAATAACATTAACAATAATAAAAGGAGTGAGGGAAGCTAATAAATATTTTCACCTGTCAAGAAATTTTTTTTTGGTTGCTGCAGGTTGGCTGAGAGGGAGTACACAATGAATGAAGCAAGGTGTAGTTGTTGGAATATTGAATGCAATAGAGTTGAGTTTGGATTGATGGGCTGTTCTAATTAAGGGTGTAAATGAGTCAGAGTCGAGTATCCGTTTATCAAGCTTGGCTCGTTTATCCCTTAAATAGCTCGTTTAACCCTTAAAAATTTTATTTTCAACTATGAAAAATATCTTAATTAGTCATAAAATATATACAACTTCAAGTTTTAATTTCTTTAAAAAAATTAATTTTTAGAAGAAATAAATATATTGTGAGCAATCATCTTTCTTTAAAAAATTTATTTAAAAATTTGATTAATATCAAATGCAATTTTTATGCAGTTAGTATTATAAAAACTTGATCAATATAGAAATAGAACATTCATATCAATGCTAGATCAAATTACATATCATCACATCAGTTCGTATTAATCACATCTGTTCGGTTGAGCGAGGGAAATGCAGAATGAATTGAAAAAGCATGAAAGAGAGAGCACGATGTGGCTAGGGCGTGAGGAGATGAAGAAGAATAAGAAAAGAGGAATAAGAAAAGAGATGTGCGGCGGGTGAGGTGTGTAGGGTTTTTCAGCCGTATGACATATAATAATATTTCAAATATTCTAAAAATAATATTATATATATAATTTAACCGAGTAGCTTGATAAGCTTTCGAGTCTAGTCGGGTTGAGCTCGAACTCGAGCTCGTTTGTTATACGAGCTCGATTATAGGCTCGAGCTCGAGCTCGAGCTCGAAGCTCGATAAATTCATCACACAAGCTCATTAAAGAGTCGAGTTCGAGCCTCGGCTTACATACACACCTAGCTCTAATGGTTTTAATTGGGCCTTGGAAGTGGGCTGAGGTAGTTGTATAGGGTGTTGGGCTGCTAGTTGGAATTTAACGTGAATGATAAAGGGGAGGAGAAGTTCGATTTTGTGAGAAGTGAAGGAAGAGTGGATATGGCAGATTGTTGGGTTGAGAGGTAGGTGCAGCTGCTTGAAAGACTTTGACTTTGTTCGTGCCGAAGTGCAGAATAGAGCTCAGTGTATGAGTTCGGCGGGTAAGGTTCGACCGTGAGCTAGGCGTCGCGTCGGTGACTGGCGCGTAAGAAACAAGTGGATCCTTGGTGGATTTGCAGGTATAGAGCAGTTGAGGACTGTGAGTTGCGAGATTATTACGTGCGGTGTCCGGACCGTCCAGAGGTGAATCTGGACGCGCTACGTCACTTAGATGCACTGGGTCCCAGGTGATGTGGCGTGTCCGGATTCGCCTCCGAACGAATCCGGATGCGCATGTAATAATTTTCTCTGTGAGTGGACCATATTGTGGATGTTTCGGCAAAGGTAGAAGCAGATTGGACGGGACCTAAGCTGTTCACAGCGCATATTTGGCGTAAGGGTCAACAATTCATTAATGTTAATTTGATTGGATCATACGTTGGTAGTGTATAGAATGAACATTAAAAACTCTCTCATGTTGATTCGGCCATCCGTTTTGTCTTCTGACTTTCCTCACATAATGAAAGGGTCTTCTCCTAATTTTTGCATAAGAGGACGAATTAAGCAGAAGAAGAGCATCAAAGAGACTATGCGTTCACTGATGTGATTTGTTTAGATAAAAATATTATCATTAATTAAAATGATTACTTTAGTAAAAGGCTAGAGGCCAAGTAAAAACTAAAAGGACAAAGACGGAGACGGCACACCCATCGATGCTTAGCTGGATTGATGGGCGAGCGCGGTTGGGTACCCTCCAACCCGCATTCAAGAGCGGCAGCGCCTCTTAAGTGTGGCCCATGCAGTGCGGGCCAGGAGGTGGTGAATGTCTCTTTTAGGTAAGCCGAAGATTAATCACGCCGCCAAACATCTCTTTGCGGGATATCCCGTTCAAAAAAAAAAAAGGCCCGTTGATCGAGCTCTATTTTATTTTTCATTAATTCAGATATATTATAAAAAGGAAAATTATTTAACATGATTTTTTTTCCTTAAATCTATTGTGCGTTGACATTTGAACAAACTATTTCAGATCTATGGGCTTAATTTAAAGGGAAAAAATTATCATTTTTTTTAAAGCTAATGAGTTTCGAGCAAAATATTTTATAATTTATAATAAAGAACTTTATGGAATTTTTTTTTTTTAATTTTTTTTTTGCTGGCCATTTCACACATTATAAATATTCAGCTTTTCATATTCCTAAGTCACTCATCCATTCTTTCCAGAAATGACGATCACAACTTACTCTGCCAAATCCTCAGTTGCTCTCCTTTCCACAACCCTCCTCCTGCTACTAATCTCATCAAGCTCTTCCACTTCTTTCTCTACCAATATTAATGTCCTTAAATCTGGCCAAAGGCTTCACAGTGGGAGCTTCCTTTCTCTTGGCAACTATGTCTTCGCCATGCAAGCTGATTGCAATCTAGTTTTATACAACAATAATACTATCCTTTGGTCCTCAAACACTGGTGGAAAGGGCAAGAACTGCTATCTCTCTTTGGAGTCCGACGGCGAGCTCCACATCTATGGTGATGGTGGAAGAAAGGTGTGGAGAAGCGAAACCGGAGGGGAATATGGCGACCATGCACTCGTCCTTCAACCCAATGGTAATGTTGTGATCTACGGAAGCCCAGTCTGGTCCACCGGCCTATCCTATCAAACACCTAATACCGACAATTATGAACAAAATACTATCAATTAGTCCAACAATCCATAGACAAATCATATCAATTTCAATTATGATGGATATTTATTTATAAAATTCAATTATCCCATTGAAGTTTAGATGATTTGGATTGAATCCTTGTGGATGAAAATTAAAGAAAATCGCTTTGGATTCAATTCTCATCAACTAATGTGGATTTGGATGACTGGAATTTTATAACTAAATGGTTATGGTCGTGATTACTCCTTCAGCTTTGAATTATGTGTGCCACGAATAAGAACAAGATTTTATTTTTCACCATATGTTATCAGTTTGTCTGTCCATCGACAGCTTTTTGAATTTGAGGTTGTATGCGAAGTTGTGAATTGTTTGTAGTTTTAAGAAATTCAAAATGCAAAGAATTAGCTCTTGATTTGTATTCAAGTGGGGCTATATTCCGACAGATATCAACACTAGTAAAAAGAGAGTGTAAAGGCAGCATTAGATAGAAGTGGTTTTTAAACCGTTGCTATATTTCACCTATTGCAGTGGTTTTAACCGTCATTATCAAAAAATATTAAAAACGCCCCCTATTTTATAGCAACGATTGTAAAACCGCCATCAGATTTCCTCGTTATCCTGGCCATTTACAACCAAAAAGCATTCATTTTATTTCTTTGAGGTAAAACACCACAATGAAACAAACAAGGACGAAATAGAATGTAACATAAGGAAAATGACACAAGAATTTAATGTCAAAAAATTTGAAATCGGGAAAAAAACTAATGTCACATCACACCAAGAGATCCACTATAAAAATGGGGAGAAATAAGTACAGATTTCTCTTCTCTCCTGCTCTCTCCTTGCTTCTTTTCACTCTTACACCTTTTTCTCACTCAAAACAAATGAAAAAGTCAAGTTAGTAACACCAAAAGTCACTACCCTTAAGAAAAACAAGAAAGAAAACTATTCAGTTAGCCTTGAAGCGCTGCAGCGCTAATTTGGAGCGTTGCAGCACTCAACCTCTGTCAGTGGTCCTGATGAAAATGCTACGATGTTGAGAATATAGCGTCACGGTGCTCTGCTCTTTGTTAATTTCATAGGAAAATTTTCAGCGAATAATGTAGCGCTTGAGCACTCAGGTTCATAGTGTCAGGGTGTTCGGGTACATAGTATCAAGATGCTCAGGTAGACAGTATCATGACGTTGTATGAAAAAAAAAAAATTTGGTGCAAGCAGGGGGGAGGGGGGACCCCGCACTCCCCCAGAAAATACGACAAACTGAGTTGAGGTCAGTGACAACAATATAATCCGATTGGTCAACACAATCAAATTCCAAATAGAACTAGCATCTATTATCTTTGCACTAAGATATTGTTTGGGATAACTTTTTTACTGTTTTCTAAAGCAACTTTTTGATATAATTTTTTTTTTTAAGAAACAAAAAAAAAAGTGACAAAAACTATCCTAAATAAAGTCTAAGTCTGAGTGTAATAATTATCTACGATCATATTTTGGGGGTCATAATTAAATTGTGATGACTATATATATTTACAATCATATTAAAGATGATTCAATTCGTGTTTGTTCTTGCTCTCAATACATTCCAACATCTTGTTTATGGTGCTTTTTTTTTGGCCTAATTGCAACATTATGTCATCATCTATTGATCTCTTCGGGTTTAACAATCATTATTTATGACTTTCTTTATTCCCTTTGTGTGTGTGGGCTATTGGGCATTATTTGTTCTATCCTTTATTATTATCACTAGCACTTCTATAGGGGTTGTTTGATGATGACAATTAGTCAGCTTAAGATGTATTTGAAATTCGGTCGAAAACTGACGAGTTTGAACTACTTCAAATTCGAACTACAAGTGAACTCGAAATTCTATAAAATTTTACTTTGTGTTCTTTTTTTATGAAATCAAATATCAAAATTTTAAAATCTTTGCATTTGAAATACTTTATGCTCATTGCTTATCAAACCAAACATCCCCTTAAATGATATAGAACTTCTTCCTTTACCCATATTGATCAACAAAATTTCATTGCACCATTTTTAGTCTCTTTCTTTGAGAAAAATAGGTCAAAATTGACCATTTAGCGTAAAATATATTATCAAGAGAGAAAATAATAATAATAATAGGAACACTTGGTGATTTATGCCAATATACTTCTACATAATTTGATGTGAGGCTAAATTCAAAGTTTTTATGTATCTTAATAATTTTCTTCTCATTTGAGGACTCTCTTCGACTATTAATTACATCTCCTAAAATTGAATCATCACCAAATAAAATATTCCAAGAGTTATTTCGCTCATCTATTTGTCTATGAACATATGCACGTAACAGTCGAGTCCATCATAAATCATCAATCATATTTGACTCAACATTTGAGATCAAATAAAATGTTGTTGAACATAACTTGAGATGTGGTCGGATTAGGTCGAGATCTAATTGTTAGTAGTCTTATAGAAAAAGAACCCCAAAACAAAATAAAATAATAAATATCATATTTTATATTATTATTAACACATAGTTTCTATTTGTTATTCTCCCATAAAAATGAAGTTACTTAATATCTTGTGATATTTTAAAATTTAAAACTATACTAATGTTTTGAAGCATAAGTTCACACACGTGAAAAATCGAACAAGAGAATTAATTAAAATTATTAAAATTAATATATTTATATATGACTGTATGTTTATTGTATTAAGGCTTCGTTTGGTACAGCTTTAGGCCACTATTTTTCATGCCTTCAGAAGATTTTTGTACTAAAAAATAGCAAGCTTTACAAACTTGTAAGTAAGCCATCCCAAACGAAGTCTAAGATTCAGTGAAACCAGATTAGTTTGGGATAAAATTTAGGATTCGTTTGAGATAGTTTTTTTAATGCTTTTAAAGAAGCTTTTTTGTAAAAAAAATTATCAAAAGTAGCAAAAAATATTGATCAAAAGTTATCTCAAACAAAACTTTAGCTAAATAGAAGTTAATGAGACACTTCTTCTCTAATCAATATTAGATCTATTAAGCCTATAGTCTTATTGGGCTCGAATCAATATTAAAAGGAATGAATTTTATTCAATTTTAAGTTTTAGTCAAATTTAGTTGATCATATGATAATAGCTTTACAAGAAAATAAATTAAAAATAAATAAAAATATTTATTTTTCTAAATTATTATTATCATCATATAATTTCTATTTCCTATTCTCCCATATAATTTAGGTTAATTTAATCTTATAGGTTCAAATAGAAAATTAATCTTTGGCTCCAAAATATTTTGCCAAATAGCAAAAATGATAGCTTTAAATCCTCAAAAAGTTAAATCCCTTCATTTTTTTTATATTTATTAATTCGATGTTTAGTTAATTAATAATTAATTATGATATTAACATATAAACCTTAGAAAATTAAATTATAATAGAACATAATTTTCTACTATATAATTAAATGTTTTCACTTTAGAATTGATATGCCACCGAAATTCACCTTGATCGAATCTTGAGGCATATTTATGTTGGAAACTTTCAAAACTAAATTTGGGACCGTCCATACAAATGAACCCAACGACATTAAAATCGATTTAATCTGAGCTCAAATGAGCCCATCAAGGGTCTTAAAGCATATATGAAATCTTCAAATCATTAACTGTATGATCAGATGATCTCTAAATATGACATGCTTATAGTCAAGTTAAGCGGCTCAACTAGTCGAATCCAACAAGCCCAAGATCGCTTAATTCTAACATCATTAAGGCACTTAAATATTAAACGAACAATCCATGAACGTGGGAATCAATATGGGCCATTCGATGGAGCACACCGAATTTACCCTTGATGTTCTCCATATTTAAAGAACATGTAAATCTAAAAATATATAAATAAACACTTTCCCAACATTTTAGAGAAAAAGGGAGGCTTTGATCTTGGACTTGATATGAAGAGAGCTCTAAAGCTTAAAAAGCTTAGAGCTTCATCGAAGCACCAACGTCGACAAACCCTCGTTGCCCAGAAGCTATTATTTGACATTTTATTGGCCATCACATTGGATATATATCTTGCCGCCACTATTGGGTCTCCGCCCGACCTTAGTTTATCACCGATTACTGTCCCTCCGACCCCCACCGCCCGCCGACTACGGTACCTCCAACTACTATCAACTAGCTACCATCCCATCAACCTCTGTCATCTAATGACATCATAATTTATGTTTGACCAAATAATAATTATGTGTAAATCAAATTTATGGTATCATATTGGCAAACATTTCTCATCGATTAAGGTAATAGATTCAAATTCTTCTTGCAAGCAAATAGCATCACATACATCAATATTGTTGAAGTACATCGATTATCTCTCAAGAAAAAATAAAACTCACTCAAACATTTAACAAAAAATTAAGAAATGCATAACAAGGCGCTGAGAGCGCTTATTTAAAGGTGCGCACACGAGTGAAGTAAATGATTTGTGGCCGTTATCATATATTTCTATGGATTTTGAATTTTGGGAGAAAAGTTTGTGCGTGGCGCATTCAAAGTCTTACTTTTCGTATGTGTTCCGGTAGACCATATCGGGCTTCCGTAGATGACAACATTACCATTTGGCTGGAGCACGAGTGCGTAGTTTCCATTCCCCGTACCTGTCTCGGTTTTCCACACTAGGGGGGCTAATTCAGACAAGATTTGTAGCTCACCATTGCTCTGCAAAACCAAGCTACAGATTCTGCCCATTTCTGAGGTATTTGATTCCCAGATAGAGTCATCATTTTCATATAACACAAGATTGCAATCCTTTCGCATGGTCAATGTGTAGTTACCAATTGATAAGCTTTTTCCGATGCTAAGTTCTTCACCGCTTCTTAGAACATTGCCTGGGCTTGCGGGGTAGCCAAACCATGTGGAGGAGCATGAAGCGATGAGGATTAGGAGGATAGAAGAGGAAAGAAGAGTACTGGCTGAGACAATGTTCATAGCCATAATTAGATTGAATGTAGAATGTTGCAGGTGTAAATGGCTAGTATGATGATAGTTGCTTTCTTTTCCTTTGTTT